AAAATTATGAAAAGAATATTTACTTGATTGATAAATATTGATTTTTTAATTAATTAATTAATTGAGTAGAGAATTATGATTATATGCTTTAATTGTGGAGTAAATTATAATTAATTACATTATTAGTTAAATCATAATTAATTTTAATGATTATAGTTGATTGATTAATTAAATCATAATTACATATTTAATTACTAAGTAAACTATGATTAATTTAATTAATTAATTGATTAAAAAGTTATTATGTGCTAAATAGATAGTCAAGATTATTTTTAAAGCAAAATAAACAGTTAAGATTACTTTGAGAGTAAAATGGAAAGTCAATCTTACTTTGACGGCCAAATAGACAATCAACCAAATTTTGACAGCCAAATGGACAGTCAATCCTACTTTGACAGTCAAATGGACAGTCAATCCTATTTTGACAGCCAAATGGACAGTCAACCATACATTAACAACCAATATGATGGTATAATTTTTTTTTCCTTTTCCCTCTCATAATTTTTTATTTCATGTTGATGCATACCATTTACTAACATATTAATTTTATGTTAATTTACATAGGAATTGTTGAGGATACTCCTCAATCATTATGGGATTGTCCATCTCGGAGTCCTCTAAGGAAGAAGTTGACAACATTAAGGAATCATATTGCAATCCCCCAAGACATTCCATTGCCTAAAAATGAAGACAACGTTGTTTGCCAAATATGTGATATTTCTGGACATGTTGCTACTATATGCCCGCAACGATATAAAGTAACTTGTCAACTGTGTAACCATGAGAGTCATATTGCAAAAGTTTGCCCAAATCGCTACCGATCAGAAAGCGCGTCAGACCCATCCTCTACACCTACTGAGTCTTCTGAAACTATTACAAAGATTTTTGCTAATGGTTGTCTTACATTTACAAAAAAGTCTTGGGATGAAGCATGTAAAAAATTACGTTCCATTCAAGAACCGTAGTTATTTTACCTTACTTATATTCTGCAATGTATTTTCTAATTTCCCTTACCCATGTATGATATTAGGACATAATGTTTTAATGTGTATTCTATCTCATGACACTTTAATTATAATATTAGGTTATCTTTTTATATTTATATGTTTCAATTATATGTTTTTATATATATTTAGAATATAGAACTAATTAACTGGTAAAAATTTTATATAATATTATTTATATAAATTGTAGATCAAAAGTTTGAAACAATTAAGTAAAAAAGGAGAGAAAACAAAAAAAACAAGAACTAGAGC